ACCAATTTAGACAAGTCATTTTTTCCTCTTTATTTGCTGGATCATCAATATAGGTTTTCTAAGAAATGAACACATACTTTCCATGGTCAAAGCAATAAAGAGTACTCTAGTTCTCATCTCTAATAACTCTTTTTTCCTTAGAATTGCTCTGCACAACTAAATTGATGCTGATGGAAAGTGTACATGTGAAATGTTGCTGTGATAGAGAGACCATGTGCCTATCTGCTCTTCAGTTACAGTCAGTGAGATTATGGTGTCATAGTAAGGGTTCAAATCTAACTGAAATTCATGTGGTTGTTTTAGGACAATCTGATATTTTAAAATTTGCATATTAAAACTGTTAAAATTATTAAAATCTAAACTACTCTGTCATTGAAAGAATGCATTCCAGGTTGGCATGCAGAAACATTTTGGTTATCATTGCAATCAATGCTTAATCTAGCCTACTGTATTGAACCCTTGTGAGGCTAGAGGGGGAAGAAAGCCAAGAATCACATATATCACCTTTGGAGGAAGGGTGTGATAAAATTGCAATCAATTATTGATAGACAGGCTCCAATGAAATTGTATGCATCCACAGCAGTACACTACTGCCCATGTGGTCCCTTACAATATCCTATTTAAAAGCTGTGATGTTGGTAGATTATGTAACAAGAGTTAAACATCTGTTCTTTCTTCACACCCCTGAACAATGATCATCATGTATATACATCAAACTACTGGAAGGGGTTTTGTAGTATAAAAAATCATATGTGCAATGCCCATTTCCATGAGCAGTTCATGCAGTTAGAACTCAGGGTGAAAATGTCCTATGTGTGCAAGATCTAGCAGTATAAACCAAAATGTAAATATGGTTAGTGGCATTTCTCATGTTTGAGCCACATAATACAACACAACTTGTCGAACTGAGCAGGTTTTGGTCTGGTTGGTACATTGATGAGAGACCACCGGCAAGCTCCCTGCCTTTTTAAGTTTCATCATACAAAAACAGTGAGATATTAAAAATGTATGCATAAATAAACAAAACAAAAAAGAAGCAATATTTTCACTAGCCATGACAAAGTGTCCCAACATTTGAAAGAGATCAGAATTTAGACATAAACTTCCTAAATCTAACCAAAGTGTTCAAGAGTGCAACTTGGATTACTTAGTATAACTTTAAATTTGTAACTATGTACCATTTCCTCACTTTACCATCAGCATATCAATCAAGTTTATATTATTCTGGGTTGCTCATTTTATTAAAAGCAAATTCAGAGCACAATTGACTTTTCATTTGTTTAACAAGTGAAGAAATATTTACCCTGACAGCCATTTCATTGTAGAAATTCATCTTCATAATAAAATATGCTGTCTGTGAATCAAGGGGGGTGGGCAGAGAGATGGCATACATTTCAGTTACACAAAGACAGTACTATTTTTACATATAAAAGATAAGAATCTTTATACATAATACATAATAAGAGTTCTAGGCTTAGAAGGAATAAAATCAAACTTTGTATTGAAGAGATAGGCTTCCTAATACATAATGCAGGCTTAACCAGAAAAATCTATGGTAGTCAAACTAGCAGCTAATGGAGATATATGATCATAAAATGCTCTCCGCTGAGTTTGATAATCAATGGTGCTCTACTGAGAGTAGAATAACAAAGCAGAAATATTCACAAGTGCTGGTGACACGTAGTATTGTATGATTTATTCACTGTGGTTCTTTTAACCAAAACTCACAGAAACATAAAAGGAATTCATATTTCAAGACGTCTGGTTTAATGAAAAATTCAAAGAAATGCTGTCTTCAGTCGAAATCGTTCAAGGATATGGATGCAGTGATGGAGCAAAATTGTGCCTTCCAACCATCTGTACTAAATGTTATGTACTTAGTTGCCTCCTGAGTAATCCCAGGGAATTTTGTTTCATTTAATATTCATTCTAACATCATAAAATCATAAATACAATGGTAACATGTTACAGTGAATCCCCTGATATAGAAAACATTTCCTGGTTCCTTTCCAATAAAGATGAATCCCACTCTTAGTAAAAGAATCTCCTGTTACAGCACTCACTCACTTGGCAGGATACGTTATTTTAATGGATACATCACTTTACACTAAGCTTTCACATCTGTTCCGCCCTCTAATTACAAATGCATTTGTGAATTATATTCATTTTTATCATAAAAAGTAAAATAAGTTCTTTTGAAATAAAATATGTCCTTAATTTAGCATAACACAGATACTTTTTTGTGGTAAGAGAGTATCTTAACTACAAATCAGAGGTAGTTTCCCCTATTTCTAGTTCTCTGTTCTCTCACTCTTCTCCCCCTGGCAAAGAATTCACTGTAAAAGGGTTCACTGTAATTAGAGTTATTTGAATTGCCTAGTCTGATCCAAAGCAAATTGTCTGTGGAGAGCAGCAGGACCGGATTATTTATCAACAGTCTGGGCAATTAAGAAACAGTTGGCTACAATATGTTATTTACAAATGAACACAATGGTGCTACTTCATTTTAAATTCACTTTCTTCATTGCATTAGGCAAGGCATAATTCCTTTTGTTTAATTAAGCAAGGGACTTAAGCAAAAAAAAATGTGGACTTTTATGTGATATTGCTTCCTTAATAATATTGCCAAAATGATCAGAGAAGGGATAGTATTTTTGAAAAATAAAAATTGGAAAAATTCTTATTTTTAAGCTCAAAAGTTTACTTGCTGGGTGATATTCATAACACAACAATCCCTGACTGTGGATTGCATTTCAGATCATGCCCAGCTTGTACTGTGAGATGGTTAATTAACCCATGGTGAGTCCTGGCATGCTATGCAACCATCTACATCTTAGGTGGATACTATAAATGGCTTATTCAAACCAGAACTGCTCATGTTTAGTTTAGCCAAAACACAGCTACATAAAAGTCCACATTTTTTTTAAACTGGTGGGCATATGTGAATTTGAAAGCTTGGGGCATTCTAAACAACTATTTGGCCCAATAAGAAATTTTATCTACTTTATTAGGTAGCTGTACACTTGATATACAGTCCTATGAAAATCTAATAATGATTTTAAATACAAACTTATTTTTTACCTCTGCCATTTTTCTGAATTTTTTTCTTCCTTGATAACCCCGCCACCACTTCTGGATAAAAACCATTACTTTGTTCATATATCTAAAACAAAATATCTTGATAAGCAATTAATTCATTCACTTTTAACTCAGAGGTTTTTTTAAAGAGCAAAAGGTTCATCATTTTATACGCAGTCCTCGGGTTATGTATGAGTTCTGTTACTGAGAAAGCAGAAATTTCTCTTTATAAGTTGGATAATGTGTAGCCGGCCTTCCACATTCATGGGCATTAGGGGTGCAGGACCCCTGTGAAAGTGGAAGAACAAAGGATATCTCTAGCCCCCACCCAAACTCACCAGTGCCTACTTTTTGTGGCAAGTAAATTGCCGGAGAGATTTCACTCTCTGGATGGGCAGGGCAGGAAGGCATGCTTTGGAGGCATCCCTCTCTCCCCTTTCACTTCATTTCTCTCTTCAACGATGATGATTTTATGCAGAAATTTTGAAAAAAATAATAGGTATTACATCAGTTTGTTCATAAATATGGGTTATCTGTAACTCAGACATTCCTAACTCAGGGACAATCTGTATTATCCTGTGGTAGAAGTTGCTGAATTTGAACCATTTGATGCCTTTTAGAGTAATCTGCATACTAAATTCAAGATTGCAGTGCTAAAATATTGACCGTTCCCTTTGTTTTTCTTCCAAACCACAGCAGGAATCTGGGTTTCAACATATTAAAAGTATCTTCTGTAGTATGTGTCTTTTCCAATGTGAACCTCTTTTTATTCAGGCAACATAAGGACCAGGGAACAATCTATAAAGAGTTGATATTTTATATCAATGCCAGTTTCTGATAAGTATTGACAAATCTATAATATGCTCTGGCCATCCTCTACTACCTTATTCTTACTTGTACTTTAGGGCATGGAAGATTTATACTTGCAACCTGATGACCATAGGATGAAGAGTACATCATGGATGGATGAGATCTGGACTGAACATCTACTTGCACAGATTCACTGGGCTGGTTCACAGAATTGTAGAACAGCAAAGTTGGAAAGGGCCTATAAAGCCACTGAGTCCAGGCCCCTGCTCAATAAAGGATTCCACGTTAAAAACCCCTGGCAGATGGCTGTCCAAATGCCTCTTCAATGCCTCCCATGTGGGAGAGCCCAAGACTTGCCTAGCCTTAATTAGTGCCATTGCTGCACTGCTGTAGCAGTCAGGAAACTTTTCCTGATGTCCAACTGGAATCTGGCTTCCTGTAACTTGAGCCCATTATTCCATGTCCTGCACTCTGGCGCAATTAAGAAGAGATCCTGGTGCTCCTCTGTATGACAACTTTTCAGTATTTGAAAAGTGCCACCATAATTCCCCTCAGTCTTCTTGACAAATTCTTTCAATCTCTCCTCATACGGCTTTGTTTCCAGACCCTTGATTTTTGACGCTCTCCTCTGAACCCCCTCCAGCTTGCCTAAATCCCTCTTGCCTAAATCTCTCAGTGCTCTGAACTGAATGCAGTCCTCAAGATAGGGCCTACCTAGTGCTGAATAAAGGAGAGCCAGTACCTTGTGTGATTTGGAAGATATACTTCTGTTAAGATGGCCCAAAACAGCATTTGCATCTTCTGCAGCCACATCACAATGTTGGTTCATATTCAGCCTGCAATCTACAGCAAGTCCAGGATACTTCTCACTTGTAGAATCATTGAGTTCCATCTTATATATGGATTTAATTCCCTTTTCCTAAGTGTAGAACTTCGCAGTTGTTCCTACTGAATTTCATGCTGTTACTTATCTGGAACAGACATTAAGCTATCCAGCCTATAATTTCACACATCTTCCCAATATCTCTTTTCAAAATTGGCATTACTTTGGCCATGCTCCAGTCGTCTAGTGCAGAAGCTGATCTTAGGGACATATTAGAAGACCAGCAACTTCACATTTGATTTCTTGAGGAACTCTAGAATAAATACTATCTGGGCCTGATAATTTATTAATTTTCAAGTTGTTGAGAACTTCATCTTTTCTCATTACTAGTTTACTCAGATTCTCAGTCAGAAATAATTGTCCTTAAACTGGCAGCAAAAACAGATGATAAAAACTATGCTTTTCTACAATTTCTCTTCCTTCCTTTAGCACTTCTTTAACTCTGTAGTTACCTAGTAATCTAACTGATTCCATAAATGGTTTCTGGCTTTGGTTATATTTAAAAATATATTTGAGGTTGGCTTTGGTCTTGTTATATGCTTTCAAAATGCCTTTCATCTGTTATTGGCTGTCCAAAACGTGATAAAATGGAGCTCTGGGAGCTGTAGCCTAAAACATCTGGCGGGCATTCCATTGAGGAGTGTTGGTGCATAGGATTGCAACCTAGGATACATGAAGCCTATAAACTAAGGGCACAATCCTATCACCACACATAGCAGATGTTCATAAGCTCCTAAACTGGAAGCTTTACAGGCATCCAATGCAAAGCGTGGCATGGTGGGGCCATCTCCATCACTGTTGCACTTCACTGCCTGCATTTTCCATAGATGGTTGTTTTCAGATGTCTAGATGGAATGCCAGGGAGATAGAAGGAAGGTGGCTGGGGCATCAATCGGAATCAGCATCTCCTCCCTAATCCCCTAGCACAGCCTGTTTTCCTTCTCCAAGATCAAGTGGTGACCTTAGGTGTGGATAGCCAGTACAGTGCTTTCAAGGGGCAGAGCAGGAGTTTGGCATTCCAAGTCCCAGGGTAGGAGTTTGGTCTTGAGTATGTAGAATTTCAGAGTTTAGACTCTGAAAAATCCTATGGCTTCCAAGATGGGAAGCCATAGGACAACATTATAAAGTAGTTTTACCAGGAAAAAAAGCATCACTGAATTTAGTGAGCCTCATTTCCAAGTAACCACACTTATGATCTACCTGAAAATCATTCTTTATTATATTTTCTGAACTTCTGTGAACTTCCCAGAAAGCTACAGCTATTAGGCAGTATAGAAATGAATAATAAATACTAATAAACCATTACCTGATGTATGCTCGGACTTTGCATCCTCGAAACCAACTCTGAATTATTACAGCAGCGTAATATTCTCTTTTTCTGTATTCATCTACACACCTGAAAACACATGTGATTAGTTTCACAATTCACATTTTGGCCAATTGCATTCAAGACCAGAAAAATTAATAAACTTTATATCCTCTCAAATAAATTCATTCTCCTTTATTAAACCTAGTAATTAGGTTTAATAAAGGGAAAAAGTTATCCTTGTAACAGTGGGGCAATAAATCAATTATTTTCTATCCCATTCTCTCAAGCAACTCCAAGCTGTCTTTTAGCTTCCCAGCACACTATCATGGAAGGAAACTGCTACTTCCTAAAGAACATCGTACAAAATAACAATCTATTCAATAATTTGATAGGAAGATAATACATTTCTTGGGGCATTGGGAATAGGGCAAGCCTAAATTACCATAACTACTAATGTAGCTGAAAAAACTGTGGAGGTAGGATAGGTTTCAAATGTTATCCTATGACCATTCAGAGTAGGAGAGAAGGAATCTTGATGTTTAGTATAAGGACCACTGTATAGGATTAAAATCATGCCTATACTTTTCTGTGAAGACTAAGCTTTTCCTTGGGAATTAAGGAGGGGTAGTAAAGTATGCCTAAAGATATGAGGAAGGTTTCCAGTATGTCCCAGTAACCACTCAGATCAGCAGTATTTTCTAAAAATAATTTTCAGGATCCCTAAACACATTAATACATTTCTATGGCCATTCGGAAGAACAATATTCTGATATATTCCTTACTTCCTCAATTATGGGGTTTTTTTTTGATGTTGTGAGCCGCCCCGAGGCTTATTGCGATGGGGCGGCATAGAAATGTTTTAAATAAATAAATAAATCTATGAGAAGTAATAGAAGCCACATGACAAGGTTTCATTTAGCTCCTTTTGTAATGTTTACTTTATTTAAAAAATATACAAGCACAAGTTTGAGATTAAATAGACATTCGTTCTCTTGAGCAGGCACCCCAAAGACCCTAAGACTGCATTCCATTACACCCTCCAGAAGTGTTGGATGGCAGCTCTCATAATTCCCAGCCAGTATGCTCATAAGTAGAAAACACTGGACTAAATGAATATTTAGTCTGACCTGGTAGCATTTCCCTATATATTTATGCCCTACCTTCAGTCACCCTACAACTTCTCTAACATCTCTCTGCCCATTCTAACCATTAGACTCACAGCGTGGCTTGGGTTGGATGCAATGCTAAGACATAATTCAGTGTTACATATTCAGTAGTTCCATTTTTCAGCTAACAGCATTATTTTAGTTCCATTTTTCATCATTAATTTCTCATTAATGCCAAATCAGGAATTGTGATTGGGTTAAACTATGATTTATCCAAAATACAAGGGTCTTAAACCATCTTAAACCATGGTTTGTAGGTGGTTTGTTTAGCCAAATCTTAGTTAAAACTAACCACAGTTTGTTCAAGTTCAAAGCATAACTGCAGCTTGTGAAAAATAGAACAAAATGTTCTCAATCTCCTCCTTGAGGAGTGGGGAAGGGGGAGTGCCCAAGCCTCATTCATGTACCTCTAAACTGGAATTTAGTGATGTCAAAATTCAGCCACTGTAATCAGCCCCTGTATTCCATTTAGGTTCCATCACAGCAGGTGACTTACCAATGTAGGAAATAACCACAGATACTGAAAAAATGTTTTAAAGTGTTATATGCATCAAATTTTGACTCCCATACAGAATTCTTTAGACAAACCACAGCAATATACCCATGTACAGTAATCCAAAAGCAAACTGGTACATTTCAGTGTTGATTTGCATGAACAGTGAGTTCCTCCAAGTATCAAGAAGGAAATGGAAAGGGGATAATTGCATCCCTTTCACTATTTGACCTTGTCCTGAAAATGCCCCCATGTATCCATATGAACATTTTGAAGGCAAAAACATTTAGATGACTTTATACATATTTAGGGTTGTTTTCTAAACAAAGGCCATTAAACATACCCCTCACTATCTTTGGCTTCCTATGGTCAGTCTGGTCCCTTACATTAACAAAACAGATTTATATTGCCACCTGAACCTCTTAGTGCATCCCTACTGCAATTTGGAAAGATCAAAGATATTTCAATTCTTCTGTCTTTCTAAAGACAGTCTTTTGCACATGTAATTTGGCCCTCTTCAACAGTGCTGCTTCTGTTCACTAGTGTCACATATGAGGAGGGGAACTGCCTTTATCTACTGCCTGAAATTGATCTGGGGAAGCCAGCAGCTATGTCTGCAGTAACTCCTGCAAAGGAGTGGAGTACTTTCATCATCAGGACAACTTCCACTTTTTTGGAAGTTGCCACCCTTGTCCTTTAGCAAGTTACAGTCTCCCCAAATGCAACATGCCTTGTGATAATAGAATGTTCTTTCTTGTAACAAAGTTACATGGGTGAAATGTAGGAAACGAGGAGGCCTTTTGAAGGGGGGGGGGTAAAGACACCTTTTCAGAGTCAAGAATCTCCACAACAACAGGGAAAAGAAGTACAGTCTTTCCAATCCCTGAGGCTTTCTGTGAGTTTGTGGTGTGATGGAGTCTTGTAAGTAGCAAGGATATCCTTTGGCTACGAGTGAAGCCCGTGGCCCACTTGCATGCCACTGCTCCAGGCTGTGTACCCCAAACCTCCTTGCCCAGTGGAAGGTTTCTTACGTATTCCTCATAAATTTTGCTCGATTTACCACCGCAACTTGTTCACCTGCGTCATGTGTAAACCTTAGCGTACTACGGGGGCAGTTCGCGAGGCTACATAGCTAGAGCAAAAGAAACAGCCCCTAATCTGAAATCATCTCTTGGGAAGCGGGCGCTATAAAGACAAGTCAAATTCCTCAGAAAGGATTGGAGCCGCGAGGCCAGATTACCTGTTCCTAAAGAAATACTCTTCCTTGAAGCCGGGCAGCCTCTCCTGCAGCCTGGCCAAAGTAGCCATCTTCCCCCCTCCCAGCCGGCTCCCATTCATGGTGTACAAACTGTCGTCATGGCAACCGGGCCGTACCACATCAGCCAGAAGGGCGAAAAGCGGGTACTAAGTCTCCACAGGCAGAAAGAGGAGAAAAAGTGGGTGGAAATTAACCCAAAAGGAATGAAATGTGGGGAAACATATTAGGTCAAGCTGTGCCGAGCGAACAACCCCTGTTGTGCCGTTTCTCGGCCCTGCAAAGCGAGAAAATAATGGTCGGGCCCGGTTTCCTTCCAGCGCCGCGGCTGCTTCCGGGATAACATCATGGGGGAGTGAGAGGTGCTGCAGTAGCAGCAGCGGCGCGAGCGTGGCCCGGTGGATTGTCACCCTCTCCGAGTCTCTGCAAAGCGGCACCCGTCTCCTCAGGGAGCGGCCGACGGCGGACGCCGGGTACATGTTCCGGGTGGCTGAGCCCAACCCGAGCAGACCTCCGGCGGCCAGAAAGAGCTGGTGAGGGGCGGGGCAGGGAGGGGAGGGGAGGGGCGGCCCGGTCCTGGTCCCGGTCCCGGTCCCGGTCCTGGGTCTGGGTAAGAGAGGCTCGAATTGGAGTGTACCTTGTCAACCTGTTTTGCGGGGAGAAGTTTTAAAGCTAAACAGGCCGAGGGCCCTGTGAAGCGGCGGAGGGAGGAGCGGGGCTGACCTTTGCTTCGGGTAGCATCTCCAGGTTGAGAAACTAGCAGGTGAAGCTGCGTCATAGAAACTCATGTTATTACCTGCTGATGGCTGTTCGTCAAGCTGATTGCTAAGGCGTGGCTACAGGGTTTTTTTTTTTGGAAAAGTGCACGGTCCTGCTTCTGAATTCCTGTCGGTACATAAACATGGAATCTGATTTGTATAATAAAAAGGAGCTCTCAGAGGGTATCGTATGCAGTTGCTATAAAGTGAGATGGAGTGGGGGTGAGAAGAGGAAGAGAGTCTCCCTAGAGTAGCAGGGGAGCTAGCAGTATAGTGTCCAGATAGAAGCTGTACTGCTATAATGTCTTGTTCTACACAACTGTGAAAGATGCAGGAACCTTGCTCTTTTGCACCTGGACATAGTAGCTGTCAGAAGGACATCTATCAGAATAAGGATTTTTGGGGGTGTGTAGATTGTTTGGATCACACTTGTGAATGCATATATGTACCAGTTTCTGGAGGAGGAGGAGAAGAGAGCGCTCTTGCAGTCATATCCTGCTTGTGCAAACTCATGGGCAACTTGTGTGAACAGAACAGTGGACTAGATGGAACCTCCAGTCTGATTCAGCACTGCTTTTATGTTCTTACGGGGTGATCTTGCATAACTTGGAGTACTCTTTTTACCACAAGGTTAGCTCTACACAGAAAACTTGTTCTGAAGTCCTGTCCTGTCTAGAGCTACTGAACATACTGGGTTTATGAAAATGTGCTCATAAACAGCTGAAGCTATCTGCCTCTGTTTTGTCTTCAGTTTTTGGTCATCTAGATACTTAAAACCATAAGTAGGAGTGACTTCTTGAATGGAAGGGAGACCAAGATACAAAATGAGCATGTGTGTGTATTGTGGAAATCCAAGAATAGTTAATACTTCAGATCTGTCAAAGAATGGGCACGTTGAAATAGATCCCCTAGAAATGGGTTGTTTCTCTGATAATTTGTATGGAGATATTTGTATGATGGTGACTATCAGGCTTTGTATTAAGAATAACACAAAGGAATAAAAATGACATTAAAACAAACTATGTGAGCCATTAAATATAATGAATAAATGTAACCATAATCAAAATAAAAGCAAAATATCAGCTAATAGTTGGGAATTCTGATAAAAATAGGTTTTTGCCCTCCAGTGAAAAACATATAAGAACATAAGGTAAGCCATGCTGGATCAGACCAAGGGTCCTTCTAGTCCAACATTTTATTCACAGAGTGGCCATTCAACTGCCCATGAAAGCTGGCTTTTATGTTGTCCATCGTAAATTGAACCTGGGAGTGTGAGTTACAGCCTAGGGATGTGGAGTCAGAAATGTGCAAAGTATGAAAAGGAAGGCAGGCACTGGAAGGAAGGGAGTCAGCCATTATAGTATGATATGTACATGAAGAACTACTTTTCGTCTGGAATAGGGAGGCAGGTAATAACTAGCCCTTGCTCTCATTCCAGCTCAACTGTAATCCCTTGGCTCCTAAACAGGTTGATCATAGGATAAGAACAGATGGTCATATATACTCACTGGAAGAGATAGAGCATTGACTGACACTATTACAATGATGCAGTATGCTATTATTTTTCTCATGCTTATAAGGGTTGAGAGCACAGGTAGGTCATGCAGGGAAACACAGCCTTCAAACAACGTGGACAGTGAAGCAAGACACATTAAATTCTCCCTTTCCAGAATCAGGGAGTATGTTGTTTCCCTTTCTGTCTGCAAACAAACAAACATAGCCCTCTTTGATACTGGGAAGAAAGAAATGAAAGTCTTTTGGTCTACTTGCCTCTGTCCTTCCACATAATGTATAGGGAACCTGTGGTCCTCTAGGTTTTATTGTTGTTATTGTTTGTTTTTTAATGCCATCTGCCATCAGTCCCAGCTAGATGCCTAGTTACCATGGCTGATGGGAGTTGTCCACCTGTCTGCAGGTCAACAGGTTCCCCACTCCAGTTATAGCTATTGGGAAAAGAAATAGTTCCTTTAATCACACTCTAGAATCAGGAAAATGGTCATTACAATGTTTCATTTCATAATTAGGACCTAGTGATGACAAGGCCACAGATGTGGGACTGCCTCCCAACAATAACCAAGTGATATATCTTCTACTGTTATCACTATAATCTCAAATACTGCTCTTTTCTGCATATACATCAAGCAAATCATAATGTGGTATGCTAGGAAACAAGCAGATACTATTCCAAACAGGGTTTGCAAATTCACCATGTAACTTACATGTGCCCAGTCATGTGAACAGAATATGAATAGCTAGGGCAAAATATAAGAGGGCTTCATCGCTAACCTTCTGTTTCTGGTGGCAGGACCAACAGTAGACATTCACCAGTTTGAGAGAGTGACTACAAAACACTGTTAGCAAAATCCGAACTCCATAAAGGCTGACTCATGAATGAAAATGTTATACCATACCAGCCATACAACTGCATTACCAAAGATCTTGCCACACTATTAGTTACGTGTTTGCAAGCTGTGAAGGAAAGAGCTCATCAACACCTAAATGGATGCACAACCATTTTGGCTTGAAGCTGCATGTGATGCTGACCCTATGATTCAGGAACCACACACGTGCTTGCATATATATACATGCACCTCAGCAAACCAGATCCAGATCACTATCCTTGTTGTGAGGTTGCTGGAGAAATAAAATTGGTGGCAAAGGAGGAAGGCTGGGATAGCTATGTGAGTCACAATTCAGCTCTGGCGAGCGGGCATGCATTCTTCAGTCCATAACAAACTACAGGCATGTCTTGCACCTTCTGCTACACTAGAACTTTAGATGGGAACATGTATACTGTTCTTTACCACATATATTGGTTTAAGCCTAATAGACCCTATAACCAAATTCTAAAACCTTTGTAATATAGCCTATGGATGCTATAGAATTGTACCTACCTAGAAACAATTTGTCTCCTAACACACAAAAGGTTACTAAGCAAGATCACTTGAAGACAAAATAGCTGTTTGGGCATTCAGTTTCCTCACATGATTAGAACTGAGTGGAAGACAGTAAGGAGGCACTTACTCATATCCTTTTTCCTGACCTCACTGCCTTCTGTGCATTGGAGGGCAAAGAGCTGCAGCAGAGAGCCTGCTATACTTGTGTAAGTCCTCTCTATGTTCATTTAGACTCCTGCATGATCAGGGTTCTAAGCTGTACTGAAGTCCTACATGGGTACAGTATGTAAAGGACAGGCAAACGAATGTGACAGAAGTGGTGAGGCCAGTCAGTTAATTCTTGATGTCCATCATCCAAGTCTAATCACATGGGGGAATTGAATAGGACTTAAGAATGAAATCTGATACATACATTTAGAAGTGAAGTACCAAATAAGGATTTGCGTCCAAATAAATAGCCTTAGGATCAAGTTGATTATTCCATGCATTGAACTTCCCATAAGCTTCTCCCAGATTCTGGCTCCTGTGCTGAGGTACTAATTGCTGAGATGGCTTTTCTCATGAATCTTAGCAACATTGATGAGGTACTAGTAACTGGGTGAGTAAGAAATCCACAACAATAACTTTATCATCATAATTTTGTTTGTATGTGTTTTCCCTTGGGGACAAATGCTTAAAGTAGCTTACAGCATCAACCAATTTATACAATAAACTACAGCAACATTTTAAAATAATTACATATCATAACAAGATTTAAATAACCATGGACAAAAAGATCTCACATTAATATACACTAGGATTAAACAGTCCAGTAATAATTATACTAAGTTCAAATAAAGCAGAAATAAACCCAGATATTAAAACTACCCTAAGATGCAGCAACCTTTGTGCTTCAGTCTGTCAGTCAGGCCAGGTACGATGGACCACAAAAGCAGGGACCAGATCTTACTACATGGAGTCTAGGTATACATGATACACTTGATTCTGTCGCTTGTGGTGCTATTTCTCTTCCATTATAGTTTTACACATAGAAAAGCAATTCTAATACAATCTGTTTGACAAATGGTAATGATTCCATTATAAAACGATTATTAGCATGTTCTATTGCATTCAGATTTCATTTTAAACAAGGTGCTTAAAGAAATACTGAGTGTAATAATGTAATTAATTACATTTTAAAAGAGTAATATTATTTTAAAAATATTGTCTAGTAGTCTTTTCTTTGGGTTGCTAGTGTTCATTGTTGTGTACTTAACACCATTAGATGCAAGAACCTTAAGAATACATAACTGACAACAACCTTAAACTATGTTACAGTGTGATTCTTACAAATAGATTCTAGTAGTGTGCAGAGATGTCTTGCACAGAGAGAAAGAAGCCAATTCAACTGGCTCCTGCATCTGTAAGGTTTCTGCCGGGACTCTTCAAAGAATATCTTCAGATTTATCAGAAGAACAATATGGGATAAAATATTTTAATTTGCATTATTTCCTGTCGTATCCATAAATGCAAGGTGCCTTGCCATTAAAAATAAATAAAAATTGTTCTGTTGTTAACATAAATGAAATGACCAAATACAGATACTCTGGAACAGGTACTAGGACAGATGAATAATTCTGCACTTGTAAGAGTAGTTATACACTTGTAAGAATAAGTGCATGTTGTTGAAACAAGACACATAATTAAAATGTCAATTTTGCATTGCCTTCTGAAATGTTTTTAAGTGTTTTTTTTGTTTTGTTTTCTGTAATTTTGCTGTTATGCAGTCATTACATTCGTCTAAATTGTAACTCTGCCCTTCTGGCTTCAGTCTTGTTTGGATTATACTGTTCACATGCTGAGCTGTAGGTATAATAGCTGAAATTTGCAATTTATTTATTTATTACTTGATTTATATGCTGCCCCACTAGCCATAGGCTCTCTGGGTAGCTTAAATATTGGACTGCTGGATAATTTAAATGCATCTGATTTCTGCCCTCCACCCTAAGCATTTCCCTTAATAACAGAATAAAATGTAAATATGTGACCAGTGTATGCTGGTTTAAATGATTAGAACACTTAACTACTGCAGTCAGTGATCCCATGCCCAAAGAACACTGGAATCTGGATGTTCCATGTATTTGTAAAGGTGTTGGTGAAGATACTTAATATTCCGAGTTTCATGCATCATTTGCATGAAAAGTGGTTAGGAAAGAAAATGTCTGCATCCAGACATTGATTAAACAAGAATTCCTTCACAGCAGTAGCACAGGTGTAGGAGAAATAGGAAATGACAGAGGATAATCTTTTTGGTATTTCTGTGTTCTGAAGCCCTTCATTTATTGCCAAAATAGGCAAGAATTCTCATGATGCTCATTGCTTTTGATTGGATTTTTAATTTGCTTTCATTTAATTATAATTTGCATTATGTTTTTCCTAATTATAGGCATTTCAGTAAGACAATGGAGGAACTAGTTCATGATCTGGTCTCAGCACTGGAAGAAAGTTCAGAACAAGCAAGAGGAGGTTTTGCAGATACAGGAGATCATTCTCGCAGTGTCTCATGTCTTCTAAAACGCCAGGCCCGAAAACGAAGAGGAAGAAAAAGACGTTCATTTAATACTCATCACCCCTGGGAAACTGGTCATTGTTTAAGTGAAGGTTCTGATTCCAGCCTCGAGGAACCAAACAAGGATTATAGAGAGACTCATGCTAATAATAAGAAAGACCATAGTGACTCTGATGACCAGTTGCTGGTTGCAAAACGCAGGCCAACTTCAAATTTAAATAACCTCAGAGGTAAAAGGCCTCTGTGGCATGAACCTGATTTAGCAGTTGACAACTTAGGAAATAGGACTCTGCGTAGGCGACGGAAGGTGAAACGAATGGCAATTGATCTACCTTCAGAAGTAACAAACACACTGACATTACCCCAACAGCAGGATAACATTAAGGATCAAGAAATGGACAATGACAGCAGATCTTGTCAACATCAAGAACTAATAAAGAGCAAAGTTAAAAAAAGGAAACTAGCAGCAAATAGGCAAGGAGCAGAAATTTTGGATGAAGGAGTTGTAATAGAGAATGATGAAATCAACCATGCAAGCAAGGATAAAATGGATTATGAAGAGCAGAAAGGCTCCGATGAAAACATGAGTGACAGGTTACTTTTAACTTTTAATTTCATTCTTTTCTTTTTATATTGTGATGATTATGTATGCTAAAGTATTCTTCCTATATTTAAATATAAAATATAATAATGTACTATAAAGTGTATATTTAAAATTGTTTAAAGACTTCCTGCCATTTTCAACAATAAAGCCCCTAATATGGGTATTTTAATTAGGAAATCATTTTAGTGCCTGAAAAGTATTTTCTTTATTGAGCCATGTAAATAACATTTGCAATTGTTCTGAAAATAGAAGGGTGATAACGTCAAGCTTTATTATACCCATTTTAAACAATGGAGATTACCCAATGTTATTGCCGTACTTTCTCAGCTTCAGTTTTATTGTGCTAGAGGGACCCACTGCTTGTGCATCAAGACCTAGTGCTTGCACAGTAATCCTGGAAACGATCAGAAACTCTCAGTTCCAGTATGGAATAGATCAATGGAATTCCTTCCTGAAAACACTGCAGACTTCCCCCTTTCCAGAAATGAAGTGTTTCCCTCTTTCCAATCACTGCAGCTAGGTTTCTGTTGTGCTGCATTAAATACTGCCTTATGTTTCATGGCGAGCATGAAAGATGGTGATAGAAAGAAAATGAACACTGACCACTTAATCTTACAGTACTAAAGAGTGAATATATAATAAAATTGTAGGAAAATTATACAGATTAAAAGAAATGATAGAAACTTGCATATTTCATGCAGAATGCAGCTTTTCCTTGTTGCAGAAACTCTTGATTTTTGTTTGTTTTAAGCATAAAACACAGAGAAACTGGCGGCTTTTGCCACTCACATATGATTGCGGGGATGAGAAATGGTGTAAACAAGTGGAATCCAGGGAAGGGTTCAAGTTAAATTTAAAATTAATCTGGTTCTTTGCTGCCAGAATTAGTCTTGAAAGACGTGTCAAGAATGTTTTTCCTTACTGATTTTTACTTGCCCTAGATTAACTGCAAATTTTAGGTTGTGTGCTTGATTTTTTTAAAAAACTTGTCTTCGTTCTCCACTTCTGCTGTGTCCCTCTGGTGTGCAGTAGTTCACTTCTGTATTCAGTGTTATGCTTGCTTGCCCAAGCTGAACTAGGCATTCATGGAAGTCAGCCATACAGGTTGCAGGTCTGCCCTTAGTGGAGGATACTTTATTGCTCCTTTCTGTCTTTCTCCTAAGAAGTCAAGAGTTCAGAAAAAGTCTACATTTTTGGGAACTTTTATATTCCCTGAAATTTAAGTAAGCTAATAATATAGTTATGAAGTGAGAAGTGGGCCTAATATGTTACTGTTGCAAAATACATATAAATACATAATAGTCTGTTGAGTAGAAGGTTGTGAGATACTGGGAGATGGTCAGGAAAAAGGATTCTACACTTTTTGGTTACCAGCCTCCTTGTAGGGTCAAGGGTTGGAAGAATATCAAAAACAAAATGTTATGGTCAGCAGTTCATACTTTACATTTTTCTTTCTGTATGAGTGGAACTGCAGAGCTCTACCCAGTTTACCATATTAATACCCTTGATAATCCAGTTTTTTCATCTGCAAATTGCACTTTAGACTAAGTATATATCTTTCAACAAGCATGTCATCACAAAGGCTGTTTTTCTACAATCATTTTAGTTAATTAAAGCAGTTACTGTCTCTATTCCCCTGTAAATATTTACTGCCCAGTCCCATTATTTGGGATGGACTGTAGCTTAGTGGTCTGCACTTAGGTTATGTTGCTGGCAACTCCAGCCAAGGCTGGGAAGGATCCTGCCCAAAACTCTGGGAGAATCAGTGTCAGTCTACAGTAGTAAGCTTGATGTGGTATAACTCAATGTAAAGTAGATTCCTATATTCCTAACTGTGAATGCATTACTAAATACCAAATGAAAATTAAAATAATGCATTAAAATATCAGATAAAATGAATCAGGCTTTTTCTAAAAGTCTTTACAGTAACACCCCGATAGGTTTTATTAGGGAGGAAGCTCTTTAATTTGGAGAGTGCTTATGGACAAATACTTCTTCAAATGTATTGTAGTATAAATTGAGCATTCTTTTTCAGGCAGTCACAGCAGGTTGGTGGTTGGACTTATATAGGGAGAAGCACTGAAATATATGTAGGGGCAAAAAGCCTAGGGCAGGGGTAGGGAAATTGTGACTCTCCAGATGTTTTGGTCTGCAACTCTCATGATCCTTCACCATTGGCTAGGGCTAATGGGAGTTTTAGGCCACAATATTTGGAGGGCCACAGTTGGCTCAGAACTTATTACCTTTACAGGTAAATATCAGCAGTTTAAATTAAACAAAACCATGTGTCATTTCTGCAGTATCAATCACATGATCCTACCATCCTTCTTTGAAGAAGGAAAATTATTGCATTTGATACTGTGCAGCTTTTGAATCCTTTTGGAAGGCAACCACACAGAGAGATCATTGTAGTAGTTAAACCTGGAGGTATAGGTAATAATGGGTGGTGGTGGTTTAAGTCTCTTGAGTAGAGCTAGTAGACCAGAAGTTGTAATAAAAAGCACTTCTGGTCATAGCTGTTATCCGCTTCTTTGAATGCAGTTTCATATCTATAAGAACTCCTCAGCTGCTCCCAAGTTGTTTTTTCCATTTGAATCCATTTTCCTTGATTTTATGAGTGAGCACAATTGGACCCAAATGAACAGTTTTGGGTGGCTTAACTACACTGTAAACATTTTCCAGATCTTTGGAATTGACAGTCATAAAATTGCTTTTGCACCTCATGCAGCTGAAGGATCATTAAAAGAGCGGGAATGTTAGAACTTAAATCACAGGGGGTATATGTGTCTAATTTCAAGCCTCGCTTCTGTTCATATAAAGTTACTGTCCACAGTGACCTGTAGGAGGCTAGTTTAATGTCACAGATATGTTTGTTCTCTAAAGCATTGTGGGTTTCTATGATTCCTAAAAGAAAAGGAACGCATCTCCTCCTTTGTGGCTTTCATAAATGGAAATCATTCTTCCTTGTAGATAAATAGGAAGTCAGTGGATTCCATTTCAGGGGGATGGGAGAAATAATTTCAGATATGGGGGAATGAAGATTTAAAGTTTTAAACACCACCTCATTCATACATACATACATACATACATACGTACATATATATAAAGATTAAATTGCAAATAACAGAGTCTTTCAAGAGTCTTTGGTGTGGTTAGATTTTAATAACTTAAAACCTCATAGACAGAATAATCACATACGGTGTGAAAAACACTGGTCCTACTGAAATGGCATCCTTATGTGCTTTTGTTTCAAGGCACAGGGCTGCTTCATACATTATATGTAAGAATGTTTGGGTGCTGCCTTCACAGGCACTTATCACTCAACTCCTCAATGTATTTACATTCATAATGCTCATAAGTGTATATTGGCATTTGTGCACTTATGCTTTACATGTATAGATTAAATGTGTAAATGTTACATGTAGAAACATTATGTGCAAAGCAATCCCTCAGAAATTGCATGGAAGTGAATTGCAACCTAATTATTATTATTTTGCTATTTTGATCACATTAATCATACTTGTTTATGCTCAGGGTGACCTTTGATTTTATAGGTTGGTATCATGTAAATATGCTTTCTTCTTCTAAATATTAGAATCACAGTGTGTATTTTTATGTAGTATATCTTTCAGAATATTTGTAAATGTTAAGAAAAAGTCTTTACGTTTCTGGACATTTCTATTTAATGTGCTCAGAATGGTTCTGATTGAGATTTCTCTACCCCCCCCCCCCCGTATCCGCTTTTTTAACCAAGCAGTAGCGTTTGGGATCAAGCTGAATTGCACAGCATAAGAAAGGAGCAGTGAGCATTTGATGGAAACAGATAATAAAATGCATCAATTGTGTCAGCACCTCATTGCAGTCACATCTGGCTTACTGTCAGGGTCCCATTAGATTCCTGTGGTTTTATGTGCCAAAAATAATACGTTCTGTATTTAATGGAACTGGGATATTTGCAGTTTGATTTTTCTCCCTTTTTTTAAAAAAATCATCTTATTTTCTTTTAGGTTTTGTTAAGGCTTAAGTTTCATCTGAGTGCAATCTTGTCTCTTTAAAATTTTATGACTGGGATATCAATTGCACTTTTGATTTGTTTCTCTCTCTCCATTATTACAGTGAATCCAGCAGTCTGAGCAGTAGTGATGCTGGTTTATTTACCAATGATGAGGGAAGACAAGGTACTGAAACAGTTTCATTTTTTTATTATAAAAATTGTGTCAGTTTCAGGCCTTAAAGCACTGCATAAGTAGGTGATGTATATCTCAAATTTTTAAACTTCTGCATAGCAAATGTGGATTTCATTTGGTCAGTTTTCTTTTTTTAAACCATGCAAATATTTTTATGTTTAGGGCCCAAGATAAATGTGGAGTCCACTTATTAGTAACTTTAAGCATAAGTTGTCTTTTGGTTAAGTTTTTGTGAACACTAAAATGTTGTGGGGTTTTTTTTCTTTTGATGTAGATAAAAAACTTCCTATGTCCTTTTGTAGTTATCAGTTTTTTCCACTGGATAATTACTATGAATCACAGTGCTATAACAGCAATTTGTGCAATCAAGCATAAGGGTTTAAATGCCAAAATGAGGGCATGACTTGTCCCCAGTGCTATCTCACCTGTTAAAGCACTGTTAATGCACTGGGTTTTTCACCCCACAAACAGCCTCCTAATTCTGCAAGTGGTACCACCACACAAGATTCTAAACTTGTTTCAGTTGTATTAATGTTGGTCATTTTGACATGTCAAAAAATTCTCAAAGGTTTAAAATCTTTAAAAAGCAGATTGTAGTGGTGATGGTGAGGGAATAAGGCATTTAACTGCTACGTATGAAATAAGGAAATTCTAAGGTATTGTAATCAAAAGCCATAACTCATTGATCATGGAAGATATCCCAGGTTTTATGCCATATATCTCTACTTAACAAACTTGTGTAGCAGAACTGGGAAAATCCTCAGAACTAGGTAGGCCAGTAGACTAACCCCATATAATGTTGCTCCACATATTAAGTTATATTTAACAGTGTGATTTCAACATATATGTAGGTTGGCAATGGTGAAGAAATCATCTTTCTCGCTTTGGTATCCCATATAATAATTGCAAAATTTGTTTAAAGTGGAATTAAATGAACAAAATTCAGTGATAAAAGGCAAATGTGATTTTTATATATGGTCATGCAACATGGTGTTTTTGATTGTAGTATTTGAGTGTACTTTAGCCCAGTTCAAAACCTTCAGAGTGCAGACACTGTCCTATTTCACGGTAACAGAATTCAGAAATATGTACTTCTTTTTAAGTCATGTATTTTCTATTCTTCAAAAGCACTAGTCTCAAATTTAGTCTCCTTAAGACTATACTGAAGTAAGTAGCTGGGATTTCTTTTTTTTTAGGGTTACTGGTCACTCTCTAACTGTGGTTAACAGATGGTGTGTTACCTTATCTATCCCCCGTTTTCTGTCCTTGGGCACATGTGCTAACAGAGTCCCTTTTTAAACAGAGTGTGAAGATGACCAAAAATACCCCTCCTTTTTTGTACAGTTGTGATAACTCAAGTTGACGAATAGTGCCCTTCTGTCAGTACTGCATTGTTAGATCTTTAAATGTACTCAAATCTAGTTGACAAAAACAGCCACTGAAAGCTCATTTTATTAAGAAGCAATCCTACTTTCCTAGATACCTGCTGAGGGGCCCTAGGATCCTGGGAATTGCCCTCCTCTGAGGTTGGAGACATTGCTTCAGCCTTGGAAGAGGGAACCAGTCATCCAACTCTACACAGAATTGTGCCAGCTGCCCTGTGTGTTGAGAAAAGTGACTTCAGAGAGGAGGGAAAGGGAGAATTTTGGTGGGCTGGGATAGGAAGAGATGGGTTTGACCAGAGTATGTCCTGTCCAGTGGTGTCTCTAGCCTCCTTCCTTCCCCCTTGGAAGTGAACAGAAGCCCATCTAGCAAAAACTATTGGGTGGGAGAACAGGGAGGCAAACTCTAAATTGGATGAGCTGGAATATTACCACATCTTTAAATAATTCCCTTTAATAAGCATCTTAAATTGTGATAATAGTGAAAAAAATATTTCTAGTGATGGTGTCACTTCCATACCTATACCTTAGAAACTTTTATGTGTAGAGAGTTTATTTTGTTTTAAAATGTTGTATCTGAGATTTTATGTTCTTTACACTTTTAGAAACTAAAAACACAATAGGTAGGTTCATAGGCCATAATATGTTGTGTTGGTTTTTTTTACCATTGTTGTTCTGTTGTATTGTCCCAACTATTATGGTATATCAGTATGGTACCTTTGGTTCTTAGAAGCCACAAATTAAACAGCAGTCTGTTCTGTGGCTTCTCAGTACCACAATGGTTTGGTTGTGTCATCAGAATCTGGAAAATTTGACTCACGGTACCAATGCAAAACCAAAGAGCCATTTGGCAAGAGGCGACCATTTTCAGTCTTGCCAAGTGGCTAGCAGAGGGTGTCACTGACAGCCACTCTTTTGCACAGCTGTAAGAGAAGTCTCCACTCTGCCACCTCTTCTTTGGGGCAGAAGTAGATGATCAAGTAGTTGATGCTGGGAAAGACATAGCACCTCTCAGCTGATTCCCCCCAAGTGTGCCAGAGGGAGGAGTGAGAATCAGGTGGGTGCCTGTGCCCAGTTGGGGGCTGCACCACTCAGCTGATTCCCACACCAAGACCCCCATAGTTGCTCCTACCACCCAGAGAGGTGTCTACTGCTTGCAGGAAAAGCAAGCAGTGAGAACAGGGATGGGGGGGAAGTTAGCAGGGGAATCAGCTGAATGATGCTGCTGCCCAGTTGATTTCCACCCCTCCCACTGGAGTGAGGGGCTTCCCTCTGGCTTGCACAGGTGGGGGGACACTTGGCAAATCAGATGGGTGTCACAGCTTTTCATAGAGCGGGCAGGATAGGGTTCAGCTGACTGATACTACTCCTTTCCACTGCCCTATTCACCTGATTCCCCCCCTCCCCCAATTTTGCCTGAGCATGCATTAGGTATCCTACTCCTGCCCCAGTACTCACCTCTAGAGGTGGAAGGAAGGGTGCCTGATTAGACCCTTGGTCTCTTTGCTGCACTTGTGCCCTGTTTCCACCAGACAGGTTGCCTGATACCTACAGTGAGCAAAAATCAGTTTATGATCATGACTGTCAAAGAGAGGAACCTCATTCCTCCCTACATTGTTTCCCGGAGTACCATCAGGAAATGTGAGAAGGAAAGCCATGGCAGAAGGGAGACAAATTACCACCATGTACCCAATTGTCTGTCAGACACATCAAGATAAAAAGCTGCCAACCATAGTAACCAGGCAGGGTTGTTTGTCATGAAATTAGGCAATGAGTTCCACGTAGATCCAGCCTCAAGATTTTTTAAAAGAATAAAATGGAATAGGAGCTTTAATCTGGTCACAACCTGATTCATCATAGACCTAAGTGCTAGTTGCAATGTTGTTCCTTCACTGTCCAGAGCAGCTTTCTGCAGGACACAGAATGCTGCAAGGAGAAGTAGGAATTTGCAGGAATCATATCGCTGTGTTTCCTTCTCCAGCAGGGCTATCTCATGATAACAGTTCTGGTTATCATGATAAGCAGTTGTGAAAAGCAGCTGTGATAAGTAGTGCCAATAATATAGTAGCTACTGCGTCATCTCCTTTATGTGTTGCATAAAGCTTAAGTAGGATTCAGTGCTTTAAAAAAAAAACGAAAGAAAGCCACAGGCCCCAAATTTTGCACATGGTCTCTCATCAAGAGAAGAGTGTGAGGCTTCACCTAAGGAATATTAATCTTTATTTTATTGTTCTCCAGAAGAACTTGAACAGTATTCCCGAATCATGCAACTTTCCATCTCAAAATTGTCACTGCCAAAGGAGGCTGCATCTCTTTTATGTTGCTGAGCAGGCTGTCACTCTTTGCTGTCTCCAGGGAGTCATGTTCTCATCAGCTAAGCTGTAGAGCCCTTTCCACAATTGGATGCATTTTCATAATGTCATCCTTGACCACCTGCCCTATTACCACCTGTGCCTCTGCAGCTGTCTGCCCTGCCCAGAAATTTAAACATGGCTTTTGGGTACTAAAATTTAAGTTATGCACATGAGAGTTTCAGATGTTGTTCAGACTGCTTAATTTTGTTTTTCTTTCAGATTTTTGTATCAAAGAACCATTAAAATATCCCTGGACTCTTTTTGTTTCTTGTGGCACTGTCATCCTTCATTTAAAAGCAACTTTTTCAAAACTTATTTCTTAATGAACTTAATCCGGTTAATTCTGTTTGGTCACATCTGTTCATGATAGTTCCCCCTTTTATATACCATACAAATCATGAAATTAGGCTAATTATATAACATTATCAAGTGCAAAGGACTGGTTTCACAGTTCTATACCTTTTAATTCCCTGCAGGAGATTAATTCTATCTGCTGTTTGTGTTGAAATAGCAATAACTTGAATAGATTTCCTTGCTGTTTACAGAAAAAAGATTAGTGTGTTGTTTTTCACATATCCAAACTGTTTGTAAAAGATTACATTTTATGTCCTCATGTTGGTGACAATACTTTTCATGCTTGAGCTGCATTACAGAAGCTACTATAGTACAGCAGGAAAGAAAAAAGTTGTTCTGTGGATAATAAACCCTAGTCTTCCTTTTTTATTGTGTTAACACAGGAGATGATGAGCAGAGTGACTGGTTTCATGAAAGTGAACCTGGAGGTGCTTGTGGAATCACTGGGATCATTCCCTGGTGGGAAAAGGAAGAGCCATCAGAACTAGAGAAAGAATTGCCTGATCCAGTCTTTGAAAGTATCTTAACAGGAAGCTTCCCTCTTATGTCCCATTCAGGCAAAAGAGGTCAGCAGCTTTTAAATGTCAGCATAACTCATTTTAAGATTTATATCCTTTGGCAGGTGTTGCTGATTGTTAATGGAAGCCAAGGTTTGTGATCAAAGACTCTTCTTACTTTCTTTTTATTTCATCCTTGCTTTATTTAGTACAAGAATGCTTTTGACAAAGTAAAACATGACAAGATAATGGAGTTGTTGGTAAACAGAAGTCTTGATTCAAGGGATATTTTTATAATGAGAAACTTTAACTGACAAGAAGGATGTATACTTTTAATTTGTGCCCTAATAACATCTTTAAAGAATAACATGCTGATATTGTTGTTAATGGAGAGTTTATCAACTACATTCAACATATAAGGAATAAACATGGTCAGAAACTTGATGTAAAAAAAACCAAATATGTGGTACTTAGAAAAAGGAAGTAGTCCAAGATATACAGTTAAAAATTCAGAATGGAAATGTGGATTGAGTAGATTGATAAATATAAATATATTGGGATTTAACTGAGCAAATAATTGGGTCATAATAATGCAATAGAAGTTAGGATACAGATGGCCTGGACTAGCTTTTTAAGATGACAATTGTAATATGTAACAAAAACTTAACATTAGCCTTGAGACTGTGCATTGTGTGCTGTGTATCAGTTCTACTGAATGGTATGGAATCATGGACTAACACAGACTACCATAGAAAAAGGTAACTTTTGAAATTTGGATTTATTGTAGTATATTACAAATGTCATAGACTGAGAATGTTATCACCAAAGAAGTAAGAGAATGCAGAAAGATCAAGAAAAACTGTAAAAATGGGATAGGAATACAATACCATTGTTCAAAGTATTCATAGCTACAAACTGTTTAGCTATGATGATGTCCAACTTCTGATATGTGGAGGGGAGGGGGGCTTAAAAGAATCACATGCAGTGACCATAGGCTTGGATCCCGTATTGGCTTCTGCCTGTAGAAGCACTCCCTGAGCAGGGTTCCACTGAGGGCACTATGCCCCGCGGAGGGTAGAGAGGTGAACTTGGCCAATCTCCCTTTCAGTCCTGGTCCCCAACACTGTAGAGTAGATGTTCATGAGAGAGAGAGAGGACGGCACTTTGGGGGGCAGGGAAGATTACCATCTTCCCCATTCATGCCAGTGGAGATGTTTTCCACTTTCCCTGACTGAAAGCCTTCCAGAAATGCAAGAAGCCCTTCTATCTGCAAAAGGCACATCCTGGATCTGAACCATAATTGTTTGCATCATTGTATAAGTTCTCACAAATTTCAGTGGGATTTTTTTTCCTTTTTGTAAACACTACATTCCCCATTGTTGTTGCAGAAATCTCTCACTGAGCTTTCATAAATTTCCAAACTTCCATTATGTTTTCCATGGCTACTTTTCTAAATCCACTGATATTCATTCTGTCTTTCATACTTAAAAAGCAAGCCCAGTAATAGATATTGGCTTTTAAGCTTTAGTGAGTTGTTCCTTTGCAGCTCTCAAGAACTCAGAAATATATTGTCTTAAATGCAGTTATGGCTGAAAAAAAGTTACCTTTTCAAATAGTTGTAGGTAGCATTATTCAAGAGTTATCATGGGGGACAAGGCTATCAATGAACACTAGTCATGATGGCTATATATTGCCTTCGGTATCAGAGGCAGGATGCTTTTCAATACTGGCTGCGTGGCCGTAGGAGTGGGAGGGCGCTGTTGCACTCATAACCTGTTTGCATTCATGGCTTCCCATGTCCATCTGGTTTACCTAGGAACAGTATGCTGGATTACATGGTATGATCCAGTTCTTATTTTTATAGTTTTTTGGTTTTGCTCTCCTCCCATGGTCTCTAGCAAACATTAGTTTTTCCCATTTCAGTAGCAGTAACTGACAAAAGCAGTTTGGACAGTAAATGACACATGCCAAAATTACCTCCCAGCTACCCAGTTCACGGCATTGGTGGTTGTTAATCATGAAGTCGTGTCTGACCCATTGCGACCCCATGGACAACATTCCTCCAGGCCTTCCTGTCCTCCACCATCCCTCAGAGTCCACTCAAGCTCACACCAACTGCTTCAGTGACTCCATCTAGCCACCTCATTCTCTACTGCCCCCTTCTTTTTTTGCCATCTGTTGTTCCCAGCATTAGGCTCTTCTCCAGGGAGTCCTTCCTTCTCATTAGGTGGCCAAAGTATTTAAGTTTCATCTTCAGTATCTGGCCTTCTAAAGAGCAGTCAGGGTTGATCTCCTCTAAGACTGACTGGTTTGATCACCTTGCAGTCCAGGGGACTCGCAGGAGTCTTCTCCAGCACCACAATTCAAAGGCCTCAATTCTTCAGCACTCAGCCTTCCTTATGGTCCAGCTTTCGCAGCCATACATTGCAACTGGGAAAGCCATAGCCTTGACTATACGCACTTTTGTTGGCAGGGTGATGTCTCTGCTTTTTAGTATGCTGTCTAGATTTGCCATAGCTTTCCTCCCCAGGAGCAAGCGTCTTTTAATTTCTTGGCTGCAGTCCCCATCTGCAGTGATCTTGGAGCCCAGGAAAATAAAATCTGTCACTACCTCCATTTCTTCCCCTTCTATTTGCCAGGAAGTGAGAGGACCGAATGCCATGATCTTGGTTTTCTTAATGTTGAGTTTCAAGCCAACTTTTGCGCTCTTCTCCTTCACCCACATCAAGAGGCTGTTTAGTTCCTCTTTACTTTCTGCCATTAGAGTGGTATCATCTGCATATGAATTGGCTCTGGTGCCATGAAAGCAATAAGAGAAACATAAGGATCACCCTTAGGTGGTCTATGCCTGATAATGTACCATGTAAAAATGAATTGATAGACAATAGAGCAGGAGCATTTGCTTCATTTTATTTCCAACAATGTAACTGTGTCATCTACATCAGAAAGTTTCTCTGTATACTATCATAACTAGTGCAGGGTAACATTATGTGTGTTTGAGCATTCTAGTAAGTTGTCAGTCATACAACAGTATAATACATAGTAACACCAAATGTGGATTTTACATTGTCTTACAGTTGAATATTATTGAGAATTTTTTTCATAAGTAGTAAATTCATCTGACTAGCATTTACTCTGTTTAGTGGTTGTACACAATAAAGCAAAGCAAAGTCTAACAAAAAATTAATGAACAAGGAGAAGGGATCCTTTTTCATAGTTTGACTCTAGATTGTGAATCTATTGGTATTTCATGCGTTTAAATTGAGTTGTAATTCTGTTTTGTAGATTTCCAGACAAGATTTAGTCACCTTCATGGAATGCCAGCAAGGAACATCAAAAAAGCTGCAGGAAATTCAACCACAATGGTAGGCTGCCTTTCATAATTTACAATGACCTACACTTTCCTGTTAAATTATAGGATTTAAAAGTATCTACTGTTTGTGAATAAGTGAAAATGGTTGTGTGAAAATCAGAGAAGCAACACTAAGCAACACTTTTGACATTTTTAATAGTTGTTGCCTCTCCTTTCAGAACTACACCAATTTTTTGAACAGAACATGAATGCTGTTTCTGAAGGTCAAATTGACAGCATTAAATATAGTCTACAGGTGCTTTATGTATTAAACTGAGGTGGTCATCTTTTAATTATGGAAATGCTTCCATGTATCTTTTACCCCAAAATCATTTTTTGGTGTGATGGGTAGAAATTAGTTTAAGGATTATATGCAGTTCCTCTTCTATTTCTGTACAGCTGTAGTCATAGATATGTTTAGACTAGTCTGTTCACTTTTAGTATAATTACCAATAACGTAATTCTATTGTATAGCAATCTCAGAATTCCTCTGATTTTGATAGAAGGCATAGTTAATCTGAAAATAGAAAACACACTATCAGTTTAGTTTGAAACTGTAGAGAATAGCTAAAACAAGTGCTTGCTCACTTAATAAATGCAATAGCAAATTGGGGGAGGGAAGCATATGTAGAAACCATTTTGGGTAACTGAAGAGAATTTTAAATTTCTGTGTTTAGAAATAGCAGCTCTGAGTTGAATAATCTGTTTTAAAACCTTGGCCTGTGAACTTTACCTTTAAGGGTAATGAATCAGATGAATGGTATCTAGTTGCTGGTTTCAGATCTTCCTATTTTTATTTTTGGTTCACTGCTTGCTTGAGCATATCTGGGATTTGTAGCCCATTTTCTAGGCTTATTGCAATCTCTCTCTGGTATTTTATAGAAGCTATTACAACTGATAGGTTAACTTCATGGTATTGATGATACATGGCTTAACCACGCTAAAAACTGCCTTCCCCCTCTAAATTGTAAAAAGGTGATTAAGTTTCAATTGATGGAGATATACTGTATCTGTATACATGTAAGGAGAGGTAAGAATTGTTTTCTGGTACAATGTCTCAATAGTTGAAGCCCTGTCTTCTGCCCAGAACATACAGTGTGGATGTTTAAATTGTAGCATACAGGAAATATTTTGGAGTGTTAAATGATTCTCAGAAAGCTGTATATATTTGTGTAGCCAAATGATTGTAGGAGACAGTAGCCTCTGGGTCACCTCCCCTCCCCCACCATATAGCTACAATTGCTGCTGTTGATTCAGGTTATACACATACATTTTTGATGATGGCATGCTTTTATGATTTTCTCTATACATTTCACAGAAAAAAATATTTACTTGGATAATTGCTTGTATCAAATGTTGGCTTGTAGAGGAAAAACAAATCAAAGGACATGCTGTTGCGCTTTGGATAACATGACAACCCACCATTGGTTATTTATCCCCTTGTAAAACTGCAGCGCACAAAGGGTTTATGCATCTACCATTTTGAATATGCAGTTGAGCTTTGTTGTGTCATACAAACCCAGCAGACTGGGGGTTAGGAGAGATTTTATTGTTCTCTTTCTGGATTTTCATGCCACAACACTCCAGAGTGGGAGATGATATGCAATATGACACTGGTGAGTATCACAACTCATCATTTGTTAAATAACACACAATAAGTCTAAGCATGTTGTACAAATCCAGTCTTATCTTCTTGCATCCCATGTATGTGAGGTTTTCTTAGTAGTGTAGGTGTGTGAATTGCTGCAAATACAACAATTTTATAGGGAAGATTAAATACATGGGCAATAATACACTAATATTAGTTACCATGCATTATTTCCTCCTTTATAGGCAGCTTTGCAAGGTTTTCCCCCTTGCAAATTTGGCCTGTCAAGACAGAACACATATGCATTTGAGTCATCAGTGAGGAAATTTCAAAGGCAATCTTTAAAATGCTGAAACCCAATGGCAAAAAAATGTAATACCTATGACATCTGCTAATGCGGAACAAGAAGTAATTACTGCTATTAGATAGTTACATTGGAAGCAAAAGTGCTTTTAGAAAGATTAATTTCCTGAGCTAAGGAATACTGCAAATGCAACTCATTGAACAGAATTGGGATGATGACCTAATTCTTTCACTTTTAACGCAGATGAGGTTGTGATGCCTACACAGGAACAGTGGCTCAATATCTCTGAAAGAAAAAAGTAGGGGAAGGACACACTTTCTGATGAGGTATCATCTGAGCACAGTGCCAAGTTGTAAACTGTGTATGCATTGCTCATACAAACCTGACAGTGTGTTGTATCCATATTATCTAATAAAGCTGAGCTTCCCAGAACTACGCTATGTACAATGAGCTAAGTACTGGAAATGCTGGGACTGCTTTAACTAATCCTGCCCAAACACCCCTTATGGACCATGGTAGGATTGGATGATAACATAAAACTTTTATTTCTTACTCTATTTTATCCTTCCACTTCTTAAAAAAATGTATATAAAGTAGCTTAAAAGTAACAATACAATCAAACCATAATACAACTTTAAAGTATAAAACAAAAACAATTCACAGTCAATTAAAGTAGCAGCAGAAAACATAGGACAATCCCCAGGAATAAAGTTCAGTGGGACTTACTCTCAGATAAGGAGATACAGAATTGCAGCTCAGAATCCTGAAGAAAGTCTGGCTGAACATTATAATCTTTCCCAGTCTGCTAAACTTACTCAGTAAAGGAGCCAGTTATACTTCCCCTGAGAGGTTGTTCCAAAACCTAAGCACTTAGTGGTTTCTTCATCAAATGTAGCTAACTTCTGGACATCCAGGGTCCATTGTCTGTGGGCACCTTGGAAAAACCCCCCAATTCCCTTGTGCTTTTTAGCATCACAGTGGTTACATTTAGCTTATTTCCAAGCTCAGCTTTGCTCAAGTTTTGGTGCTTGGTTACAGAAAATAATGGGAAAAAAACCTAGATGCAAATGGGTTTCTATTTGTACGGTAGGCTACCGTTTTCTTTTGCTATACTTGTGTATCCTGAAGAGCCATTTTTGTCAGCTGGGAAGTGGCCTGTGAGGTAATATTGGGTAGTGGTGGGGATTGCAGCTTAAAGGGATTCCATGGGAAACACACACACACACCACTTACGGGAGCAAAAGAGCAGTTTAAAAAAGGAATTACACTTTTAGAGAACTAATAATAGTCTTCCTTTAGATGTGCTCATTTAAAAAAATGGATTGGATAGACACCTGTCAGAGATGATATAGATGGAGGAAAGCCTTTTTCTGGACTACATAATCCATTTGTAGTGATACTTACTCTAGGATACCTTCTGAAGCTCCGCATTGCTTCTGAGATCAAGATGCTTTTGAAGTTTTTATTTCCTAGGTGTCTTATTTGTATACAGTCTTTAAATTTACAGATTCTTCAGTGGGATTTACATGTAGTAAATAGTGTTTCAAAACACTATTAAAGTCATAATGATTACTTTCACAGGAAATGTATAAATTATGCAGTGTGGATTGTTCATCACAAACATCTTTTTTTAAAACAAGGATATATGCAGTCATGAAACATGTATATGCCCCTTTCATATAACCTTGCTTAAACCCTGTCAAAAACCCTGTTTTAAAAGAAGCTTTTGACAGTGATAATGGGGGTGGGCTGCAGTTTTCCATTTTCTCAAGCACCTAAAGGCTCAGGGAAGGATGGAAAAAGTGGAGGATACAGAACTTGCAAGGTCAAACTTAAAACCTAGAGGGTCTTGCTGTGTTGTAGTTGCCACCCACTTTTCCAGGCAAATATCTTCTTTCAGTTTTGCTTT